TTTGAAAAAAGTCATCCCAATTTACTGTGTTGAGTTGGCATTGTACAGAAATGGACAGCCATATTGGTCCAGAAATGTTAATTTTTAAATTTTTATTTATTTGTTTTCCATGTGTACAGGGGTAACACATCGTACTAAATATGCAAGGTCACATCTACGTGGGTTTGATTACAGAAACTAATAAAGTATTCTCTAAATAATGAAAAAAAGAATAAGATAAGACTATAAGAGCAAGAAGCAATTTAAATATGTCCAGGGACCATTTTCATCTCCAGAATTAAGGATTATTTTAATGTTACATCATTGCCTTTTCTCTTCTACTTTCCTTTTTAGTTTTATTTTAGGATTCCCTATTTTTAATGTTCATACAGAGATTTCTTTAACTGAAATACCGAATAGTTTCTTTGGTGTGAAAAACTATAATAGTACAAAGGATCCTAATGAGATAATTAATAATGTGAAATAGGAAGTAAAGGGATAAAGGTGTAGGGAAAGTGGGAAGAGTGGGGGAAGGGTAATAAGGGAGAGGAAAAAAATATGAGAACCTGAAAAAATGGAAATAAAGTGTGTGTAAATCGGGAGGGGAGGAGGGGGTAAAGGGAGGGCAGGGACAAGGGGCAAAAATGAGAATCAAGACCTATTATGTAAAGGTACAGAATCCCAATGATGAATGTAACTGTATTGTATACCTAGATTGTACCAATAAACTCAATAAAAAGAAAAAAAATAATATGGCATTCCAGCCTTTCTCTCCGGGAATGAACACGGTGCCAAATTGTGAGATATTTCACTAATCTAATGAGCCTCCTCGGTGTAAAATAGGGAAAATGATCTATGAGGATTCAAGGAGAATGGGTGGTAATTCATGCAGAACAAGAGCCAAAATGGTACTCGGTCATGTCTGTTGACATAATAGCATACAAAAAATCATAAATATCTGTTCATGTTACTTAGTCCAGCCACACATAGACTGTGATTTTAACCCTTGAGAAACAGAGATAGCTTGGGTTGAATTATTGGGAAGTTAAACAACGCTGTATCTTAGTGCTCTCAAATACCATTCCTGTCCAGCATGTCTCTCTGAAATGTCACCGGTTGCATACCCTAACCCAAGCTGATGACCGACCTGCATCTATTGTGATGTAATCCAGAACTCCGTGGTTATGTTTCTTGCGAGCTGTACCCAGGATACAGTTTAAAGGGCACTTGCTTTTTGTAAAGTAAAGCCTACCGTGTTATCCAAATATGAAACTGAAAGATTACTACAAAACTACCTGTGATTTTATTTATGACTGATCCTTAAGAAGCAATGAGTAAACACTTTAAATTTTGTCATAAAACTTCTTTTCCAAATGGCAACCTGTTCTGCCATCTCATTGACAAAATTATTAGGAGACCCTCCTTGCAATTTTTGGGTCAGTGGGGATACCACTGTTATGAACATAGGATTTACAGAACATTGGCAAAAATTCTGAGGTATGTCGACTTGGATGGTTTTGATGCACTTCTCACAGATTATATTGCATTTGCAGAAAAATCCGGATACCGTTTTGAACTAAGTTTTCATTTTGAATTTACTGAAATATGTGTGAATACGATTTTGTACTGGGTTTTTGCCAGAAAATGTAACCCTGATTTTGTGGAACTGCTTCTCAGGAAGACGAAAGACTATCTTCAAGACAGAAGCTGTCACCTGGCACTGATATGGAGGTAATACTTTCATGTTTTTACCATAGAAAGAAAAAACTATTTTTAGGAGATTACAATACTTCTTTCTACAATTAATATGTGTGGTGGCTACACATGGGTCAGGAATCCTAACTTAATTTCTCGTTTATTCACAGTGTATTCACTAAATGTTACTTATAAGCACATTATTATGTACCAAGAAATTATTAGTGGTTCTTCCCTATACAGTTTACATGTCAGTGCTCAGTGTAATGCAATGTTAGAAAAGTCAGATTTCTCTGTAGGCACTTGCTTTTTGTGTAATACTGTGTCTCTTCTTCTGAAAACATTGAATTCTATATAGTGTGTATGTAAACTGACTTTCAAAGCACAATTCAGAATATATACACATCTTCACCTAATAACACTTATTAAACACAATTGTTCCCAATTTGTGGGAACATGAATAAATTTGACTTCAAATTCTCTAAAATTGAGGAAAAAAAAAAACAAGCCTGCCATTTGTATTAAGGGCAAAATTTTACATAGTCTTCACCTATCAGCATATCAAGTACCACTGAACTGAGGGTCTTCTGAAAATAAAATCTTCACTATGACCTCTTTGTAATATATTCTGAAGTGAACTAGTTTTCACTAATTCCAATTTATTCTTTGGTTTTAGGTATTAGTATAATTAGAAAAGATGTAAATATGTATTGGTCACCTTACTATGTATGCAGCATATACTAAGCATGATGACAGGAATAGGTATGCAAAGAAAAACAAAGTAGATAGAATCAGATAAAGATTACACAAGCTTAAGTTCTGCCTGAAACAGATATTTCTTAATTATATATCACTGTGCTATTGGAGAACCAGTGGATTGTATTCTTTTAGGATTACCCAATGCATGAATCAATAGCTGTGGTTTGGAACTATCAATAAACAAAATCTCCAAATAGGACTTTGTGTTGCTTTAAGGTTGCACATTATATGTAACTGCAGCAGAGACCAACAATTTCTAAAGCCAAATGTCACTAGCCGGGCTCAGTAACTAGCCTCGGCAGGCCTGTGGGAAAGAAAATGGAGTAAGACAGAAAGAAAATTAAAAGAATTAAGTATGGAGGAGGAGAGGGAAAAATGAATGAAATAAAAAGTGGAGCAGGATAAAGGACCATTACTAGGACCTCATGCATGCTCAGCAAGTCTTTTACAACTAAATCTACAGGAATTCCCAGCCCCCATTAATGATTATTTTAAGGGGCAGTTTTAAAGTTAATAAAATTTGGCTTGGATGCATTCACAAGGTAAAATTCACTACAAGGCAGCTCTCTGCTCTACAGCATAGCTTGGATCTTTCAAAAATCATAGAATTTTAGAGATGAATAGAGCCTGAGCATTCACTGGCAGATATTTATCCTTGGTAGCAGCCTGTTGCAGAGCATCTCTGGCTGATGCTCACTGGTCCCCACTTGAACAGCTGGTAGGAGTTGTGAGTTACCCGTTTCCTGCAATAAGTCAGTCCTTTGCCCAGAGTCATTCTATTTCCCAGCGATACACTTTCCCCAAAGAGTTACCCTGTCCCAGGACTTTATTGTACGTGCAAATGACTTTCAGATTTTTATCTACAGCCTGGACCTCTCCTCTTAGCTCCAGACTCCTTTTATTATCTACTGACATTGCCACATGCCATCTCAAACTTAATAGAAACAAAACAGAATATTGACTTAATTCCTCCCTCTGCCTGCCACCTGCTCCTTCCCCTGAACTTTCAACCTGGTTTAGAGCCCCTGGGCCAAAATCTGAGGTTTTTTTCTTGATTCTCTTCTGTCCTCCACCAACACAGCAGCTAGTCCTTTTGACTTTGCTCCTAAAACATATCCCAATTAGTTCTACTTCTTTTCATCTCCTGCGTTTCTAATCTAGGCAAAGCCCAGATAAAGGCAGTAGATTCTGAAAGTCTCCCAATCCCTGTAACCTATTTTTGACTTGGACATCAGAGTGACCTTTGAAAAATATAAAATAGCTCATATCACCCACGCTTAAAATCCTCCAGTTTTTCTACTATGAAGAGTATCAAACAATGCCCCTTTTAATAAAACTGAATGAATGTCCCCTCAATATTTTCACTGATCCAGTCTCATGTTACTCTCTCTGGATCTGTATAGTTCAGCTCCACAGACCTTTCAAATGTTTCTTGGACATTCTAACGTCTTATTCTTCCTTGAGAACTTATCATAACCATTCCTGTAGGCTGAAAATCTCTTCCCCTGTATCTCCCTATGGCTGGCTCTTTCAGTCAGCTGGCTTACAGTGTTAATATCATCTCAGAGAGGCCCTCTCTAGTCACCCAGTCTAAAGAGGTCATTGTCATTACCATAGCCTTGTTTCATTTTCTGCACTGCAGTGATCACTGATCTTTTTATTTCCTGCTCATTTTTTTCATCGACTTGTTTGTTCACCTCTCTCTTACAAGTAAATTCTGTGAGGGCAGGAACTTTGACGACTGCTTCACTTTCAGTGCCTACAACTGCCCAATAAATAGTAAGTGCATGCCCAAGATTTTGCTGAAGTGAATTTTGATACAGCTTTGATTCCGATTTGATGCCAAAGTCTGCCTCCATTTCTCCAGTTCTGCCCCTACAGCTATAAAGAACAAAATGTACTTTCCCTGTCTCCTACACAAAAACCTCAAATATTTGAACACAGCTATTATGTCTTCATAATAAATACCTTAATTTTCCTACTATCTGTTGTTCTTTATTTCTAAAGACCGTCATTATTCTTGGTAGCCTTCCCTTGTATACAATTTCCCTATTATAATGATGAAGGGTTTCCATAGCCCCTGGGGTAGAGAGAGAATTACTAAGAGAAAGGAAGTTGTTTGTTCCTTTTATAAGAGACCTGAAACAAACATTCAAATGCCACCCTATGACAGATTGTAAGTAGTAAAGACAGATATCATTTGTTAAGGTAACAATAATCATTTATTTAAGTATTTCCTAAGTGCCAAGAATGTTATTTTTTTGGATATACAAAAATAGGACAAACACGTTTCCTGGTTTTGGAGAGCCTGGTCAATAATGAATGTAGAAAAAACTTAATTACATTGTTCAGTGTGAACGTGGAAGCACGTAGAGGTATGGAGAGCACAAAAGGAAATCATTAACACTGTGAGGGAGAAAATGTACCTGAGAAGGCTCTTTAGAAGAGTTGTGTAGGGCTGGGGATTTGGCTCAGTGGTTCTACCACCTGCCTCGAAAGTGCAAGGAACCAAAAAAGGGGGGATTGTCCTAAGTTGATTTAAAATTTTTTATGTTTATTAGTACGTTTGCAATACATAATGATTACATTCATTGTGGGAAATGGTACATGCACGCATCTTAATTGTTTTTGCATCCCCTTTTTCCACCCTCTTTCTCCCCTTTAAAATGATCTTTAAAAGATGAGAAATGAGACACACATGTGTGAATACTGAATAATTTCTCTGGTGTGAAAAACTAAAAGTGTAAATAAGATCCAAATTGTAGAATTCATAATGTGAAATAGGAAGAAAAGGGGCAAAGGTTTAGGGGAAATGGGAAGGGTAGGGGAAAGGTAATAAGGGACAGGAAAACATATGAGAAAAGGAAAAAATGGAAACAAAGTCTTTGTAAGTAGAGGAGGGGGAAGTAGGTGAAGGGAGGGCAGGGGAATGGGGAACAAATGAGAACCAAGACCGGTCATGTAAAGGCACAAGATCCCAATGATGAATGTCACTGTACTGTATACCTAAAATGTACCAATAAACTCAGTAAGATTTCTTTAAAAAGAGAGAGTTCCATTTGTTTGCCTTAAAGAAATGTAACCTAGGCAAAGGGAGCATGACTAAAACCAAAGGAAACATGTATCCAATGACTTAAGTTTATTTATTTTTTTCTTGATCTCAAAATTCATTCATTCAAGGGGGTGAAGGGAGGGCAGTGGTATGGGGAATAAACAAGAACCCATAGATATCATGTAAAGGCACAAGATCCCAATGATAAATGTAACAGTATTGTTTGCTTTAAATGTACCAATAAACTTAATGGGAAAAATTAATTTATGCAAACAACCAAATATAAGCTTAATAATAGCTAGAAAGTGAGATGAGAATCAGGTAGTAGCAAGAGATGACACCTAAAGACTGTAGGTCGTATTGAGGAATTTGAAATTTATGTCACAGCGATGCTGTTAATGAGGGTGAAACTTGTTCAATGGAAAGATCCCTCAGCCCCATTTGAAGACTGAATTGTGGGAAGGCAGGCTGGGGTAGGAACAGGGAAAGTAGTTATTAGACTACTCAACACTCTTAGGTACAACAGCAGCCCCACCATTTCTGTATAGGAAGAGGCCTATATAGGAGGGATCTAAATAAAAGGTCCCTTCCCCTTCCTCATAGAAGGAATCTGGTTTTTAAAGAGGTAATTAGAAAGCTTGAATTGCACTTGTACAGCCTGCATGGTGTGCTTGCTTTGCTTATACATGTGTTTACAATGTTCTGAGAGGAGAAATAAATCTTCTCAGACACCGTCTTCCCCAACCTCTACCACCCTTTGATATCAGACCTATTTAGGTAAGTTATAATGAAAACTTCAAGTACTAACAGTAGAAGAATAAAGAAGGCATTTTACAATGAAACAGTAAGACAGTGGGATTAGAAGTGAAAAATCGAAGCGAAGGAAGTCATAGTGTTCAGATCTCTAAATTTGGAGATGGGTTGATGATTATATTAGTTTCCTGTTGCTCTCGCAACAAATTTCCACATACCTACGGACTGAATGTATTGTAGTTCTGAAGATCAGAAGTCGAAGTCGAAAGTGAGTCTTACGGGGTTAAACTCTGGTCTCTAGGGGTGACTCTGTGTCCTTGCTTCGAATTGTTTGGCACAGTTTTCTCTCTACCTTCAAAGCTATCACTGACATGTCCTCATACTTGTGTCTCCTTCACTGACTTTGCATCCATCATTCTCTGACGCTTCTAAAAACCCTCACAATTATAGAGCCCACCTGTATAATCTCCTA